CCAAAACTCCAGATGATCAATAATAATATCACTATAATACCCGACTGAGTACGACTGCCTGAGGACGTGTGACCATCTGGCGGGGCTAACAAATAATGTCGCAGTTGGATACGCACTGTGCGAAAGAAAAGTTCAACATACGTACATACATAAATCCTCTCTCGCAAATTAAGCACCTTGCGGATTTTGTCAAGGAGCATAAATCACCATGTGAACTCCGGTCATCTTCGCACCGGCTTTTCCCTGGCAATCGAACAAAGAAGGTCAACTGCATCGCACGCTTTCAGATGGGCTTCTGTGGCCCTTTGGAATGTTCTTCCTTCCCGATATTAGGAAGCCACTGTAGCTATGCACTTTTAAATCTAGGTTGAAAACTAATTCCTTTAGAACTGCTTTCGGTGTTTAGGTTGTTATCCTTCCTCCGCACCTCCGATTAGCACGGTTGGCTACATACGGTGTGAACGAAGTTCGACATACATACATAAGCAACTGGAATGTAACATTGAAATGCTTAAAATAAAGTTATAGTGCCTACCTATCCCCTCTCATATCACTCTACTCCCTTCCATGCACTCTCCATTATAGAAACCCAAATTTTCACCGTTTGCTCAATGGGAAGTTGCTTTTTTCGCATTGTCTGTGTATCCCTTCCTCAGGCGATTAGTGCTGTCAATTACATGTTCCTGTTCAGGTTCAGGCTCAAGACTTTCCGCTTTGCCTCTGCCTATATTTGGGTGTCTCTTTAGCTCTATAGAATAAATATCTGAATAAACATGCCTTCTGTCGCACTATTCTGACCAGTGTCTTCAGATGTGATTACATTTAGATATGAATATAATAAACTAGCCTTTTGCAAGCGAAAGGCAGACCACGACGTGATATATTCATTGCATTAACGCGTGTGCAATTTGTAAGGGCGCGGTGACACAGACCTATTTCATGTGAAGGTTATAATCCCTTGTTCATCATGACGTCCTTTTTACTTTGATGTCTCAATAGCGTTACGGAGATCACGTGACGTGGGGGTTCTGCCTTTGTAGTGAGGGTTTAAGTTGACGCCGAGGAGGGGGGAGGAGGCACCTCGGCCCCCCATGTGGAGTGACGTCAGCTGCTAATTATTATGAATGGGGGGGGGGGGGGGGGTGTCCATTTGGAGGACATCACCTTATAATGATTATTAATTAGGGGGGCTGTTCGATGTGGAGTGACGTGACCTGCTCATGATTATTAATGAGGGGGAGGGTGCTCCATGTGAAGTGACGTCACCTGCTCATGATTATTAGTGAGGGGGGGGGAGTACTCCATATTGAGTGACATCACCCGCTCATGATTATTAATAAGGAGTGGGGGGGGTGTCCATTTGGAGGACGTCACCTGCTCATGAATATTAATGAGGGGGGCTGGTCGATGTGGCGTAACGTCACGAGCGTTAAGGACAGACATTCCTAGGTGATTATAGTAGGTATACAATATTGTATTACATTGAAAAGTGCATTTTTAGAGGCTGGTGTGGATTTACTCCTCAGAAACTGCAATTAAAATGGATGTAATTGGAGCAGTTGTCTGCGTACTATGTTGCTACATTCATAAGAGATACTTTAAAAGGGGAAATGTTTAATTGAGAGAGCAGGATTACTTGAGGGTTTAAGGCTGTAGCTCAGTGATTAGCGCATCTGCCACAAAGGTATAAAAAAAACCTTGTATGCAGTTGATGTTTCGTTTGTGCAGCCATCAGGTATTTTTTTCCGAGGAACGATAAACACAAATTTGGCATCTGCTGTAAAATGTATGTCAAAGGCCATGTGACATTATCTAGGGCACTCTGTGCCAGTGTCATGTCTCATTTATTAAAATGGCCCCATAATTCATTAACTGCGTCTACCCTATTTTTCTTTCAGAAAAACACCACGTTCATCATTAACACTGCTTATATGAACATATTTTAAACAGCACTTTAATACTTGTGCTTTATACATTTTTGTCAATCCACTGCTGGATAACGGCCACTTATTATTTGTTAGTCAAGGGGGTCGTTTGATTATACTCTACCATGCTGGTCAGTGTGGGATGGCTTCTGGACATCTGTGAAAACTACTGGAGGAAAAGAGCTTCATAGCTCATCAGATTCATCCAGTAAAAAATAAATATTCTGATTCTGGTGAACAAGTGGCCCGGGACCAGCTTGGATATCACCCGCCAGCGATGGTCGTCTCGACCAGGAATTGAACTCAAGGCACCAGATGCATGGTGCAGTTTGCCATTAACTATGCCACCACTCCGTCCACATATTAATGGACCAGTTAAGATATGTTTATTTGTAAACTTCAACGTTTTATATAGCATTTATATGCTTAGCAATTTTTGTTTTATCTCTGTTTACATGGGCCATGAAAAAATTTTTTCGTTAATTTCCAGCAACGTGATCACATTCTATATATTCTTCTGTTATAAGGATACAGAAGCAGAAGTATGACCACAGCACAGTGACAATTTCTGACGGACTGCACTGGTTGTCAGTCCAGCAGAGGATCAATGACAAACTGTGCAAGCTCATCTACACACGTTTACATCAATCTGCACCGCCCGATCTGGCTGATATGGGCACAGCACCAGTTATCCCCAAATGCCGGTCGCCATCATCTCCAGTCAGCAGGAAACGGTCACTTGATCATCCCACGCTCCAAGACATCAACATACGCCAACCCCACCCCTGCAGCATTACAGCATCACCGATCTACACATTCGCCGACTCACTCGCCAACTCATTCACCCAGCCACTCACCTGTCTACGTGGAACTCATGGCGAGTCACTCTCTGTGTTTTGTGTCTATCCGTCTTGAGATATATTCAGTAAAGCTTAGAGTATAACGATCGTGCCTTCATTAAACCCTTTGCGCGGTAATAATGGCATGAATACCAAACGTACGTATTTGATGTACTGATTTATGTAAAAAAATTTTATTCGTGTGATTAAATTATCCTTGCAAAAGGAACAATGAATACTAAAATAAATATATCAACTCGAACGCAGTTAAAGAACAACGATCAACCGATTTCATGTACAGTTTTAGAGAAATATCACAACCCTCCTTAACGCGGGCAATTTTCTGTTGCATAGCACAGGATTCCTATATTGTTGAGATGTAAACATTTTGGCACCAACAATTTTCTACTCCTAAATCATACTACAAGTGTCGATCAAACGGCTTTTTGGAACTCACGTGTTATATGTACAAGGCTCACATACATGAATTGGGCATCGCCTACCGCCAGTACCAGTAGTGTGTGGGTCATGCAATCTGGGCAGGACACCCACAACCAAAATTGGTCGGCTGTTGCGAAGCAAGTGAGCATGACTCAAGCATGCTGCGTGAAAACGGTTCCACGCTGCCATTCACTTTTTATTTTACACCGTGCAACAAAGTAACTGCACATGCACTTTGTCCACGACAAAACCTCGCATTAAATGAACGGTGCCCCAAGAACCAGAAAAACTGGGTGGGTACCCTGCTGGACCAACCGACTGGCCCGCAAGGACTACATTCTGTTTGGAGATGAATTTTGGCTGTGCAAAACAAATGAGACCAGCACGGGGGGATCTTTGGCTAAAAGTCATGGGAGAATAGCTGTGTTGACAGTAATACATAACACTGTATGTATGCATCAGTGTGTGTGTGTGTGCAAATGCACGCAAAGTACGATTGTCAAAAGTGGATTACACACAACTCTTATTGTTCATGGCCCACTGTCTTGACACCAACTGTCTACAATTGTAATGTGTGTTGAACTTCGTTCGCACCGTAAGTAGCCAACCGTGCAAATAGGAGGTGCAGGATCCCATTGCATACATGTCAACCACAAAGGAGTCATATGAATAAAATACCTCCTGAAAACCTGGGAAAACCCCAAGAAACTTAGAGAGAACCCAAGAAGCTTAGGCACGAACATATTTAACTGTCATGCAAGCAAGGGTGAGTCTACTGTTGGAGAAAATATGGGAGGGCGGGTAGCTAAATGGGTTTGCCCAGCAGCAAGAGGCTAATGTCCAACACTTAGTGAACACCCCATAATAATCATCATCATCTTGGAGAGTTGGAATTAGTTTCCCACTTGTTTCTCATAGGAAGGCCGCCATAAGCAAAAACTAAACTTTTTAAGATGACAATTACATATGGCACAAACCATTGGCAGCAGCTCCCGGCGAGGCTCGTTAATAAACATTGTGCCGAGTGACTTCGTTTCGGGTAAACAACACTCAACGTGAGATTCTACTGCGGTGGAAAAAAAAACCCTTCTCACGGGTAATCCTTGAGACGTTACATTTATGCGAATTGCATGAACATCTCTGCCAGCTTCAGCCTTTCAGCTGGCCCGTCTGCATTCCGTTCTACATTTGTCCAGACTAAAGAAAGATCACAGATTTCAGAACGATATGGCTGCCCATGCATGCGAGGCTGTGGTGGACTGCGTGACTATACAGCCGATGGATTGCCCAGACCAAAGAGGTCACACGGGCGCAGCATTGATCGCATCGGTGATGTCACAATCACATGAAAAATCCAGATAAAAGCAGTAACTCGTACATAGCTTTACACATCAGGAGCAGTCTTTTGATACGGGTGTAGTAATAATAATACACGGTCCGTTTATGGCATGCTGTGGCGCTCATGAGGGTTGTTGAATTATACTTCACCATGCTGATCAGTTCGAGTTGGTGAACGAGGGTCGCGCAGGACGGGTTCAATTGATATTAACCAAAGCTGGGAATCAGACTGAGATCGCCAGAATTTAAACTGCCACTCCGCCCCTAATTTATTGTCACATCACACGCGAATGACAAGTAAACCTGTGTAAAAATAATCCATTCAGTGAGTTTACACATTTAATTTGCCAGCTCTCAAACCTTTGCCTCCTTCAGGGCCACATACAGCTCATGCAAAAATGTGCATCATACAAGAAATGTTAAAAATATATATATAATTTAAAAAACAACAACTTACCTCCCAAGAACCCCATGGATGTCATAGAAGTCCTCCACTTTCAAACGGCAGAATTCGGCCATCGCATCTCTGGCTTCACTGTCGTCCGCTGATATGGGAACTCTGCAGCCCATGTCATGGCATTTCCATTGTATTCTGTTTAACTCTGAAACTGAAAGAAACAATGTGCTATCATTCATTAGCGGGAAAACATTTCTATGTTCTTTGAAAAACACAATTAAATGAAAATGCAAACATTAACTAATAAAAGTTTGATCAGTTCCGAAGCACACGCTGACCCATTTCTGTTTTTTTCATGAACAGACTTGTGTGTAAGGAGGGTTTTAAACAACCACAACGTTTACAATCAGACCCCTCCTCCTACTCACCCACCCACGTGTTGCCCACCCACCCACGTGCTGCCCACCCTTCACCCCAATCCACCAACCTCCATAAAGTTCACTGTTAGTTGTATGAGTGTATGTTGTGTGTGTGTATGTTGTGTGTGCGTATGTTGTATGTGTGTATGTTGAACTTATTTCGCACCGTATGTAGCCAACCACCCTCTGACACTGGTGTGCTTGACGCTGGGTACTAGAATTAAACAATGGTTTGATGAATTAATGAATTGCAATTATTTACTGTATTCGCAAGCTCCATTTGCATTGCCAAACAATGCCAAACAACGCAAATGCGTACAGTAGTATAAAATGAAATAACAGCTACTAAAACTGCTTTTCCAGCCAACCGCAAGAGTTAAAACTTCCCCTTTTAAATGGTGTGCACACCTTTCCGTATCACGCAGAAGAATCAACGCTAAGTAAAAAATAAAGGGCAATCACATTCCACGACTAAATAAGTACGGAGCATAATTTATCTCTGAGTCCATGGCCTCGAATTCCATAAGATGTTTATGAATCCTAGAGAGGTGTGCAACCTCATAATTCTTAGCGTTTACTTATTTACAATTTGTAGGAGATGAATGGCCATTTTTTTGGCAAATCCAGGCAGCACAACTTATCTTCGAGTTAACTAAGACTAAGACTTTTGAATTGAGAAAATGTATGTTTAAAAAGTAATGATGTTTCAGCAGATTATTAATGTTTAACATGAATGTTCAACATTCATATTTAAGATTATTGTTCAACATTAATATTTAACATTAATGTTGAACATTAATGACATCCTAATCAAAATGTTTTCTTTTTTTGCTGCAGAAATGTGTGGTATTATTGTTTCTGCAAGTAAAGCGAATACAATTGCTCAACAATTAAAGGCCTTAAAGAATGTACTACCGTCCCCATTAATACACCAACAACCCTAAAATAAAGTTTGACATGTCTTTCTTTAAAGAAAACCGTCCTCTAAATACTATATATTTATATAAGTACGCATTTACGTGAAGTTGAATAATACATATGTCAATTTAAATGTCGCATTAACTTAATGACACACTCGTCAACCATGCCTATCCACTGCTGCATGAAGGCCTTCCTGAGCTGTCAAACATCTCTTACGATTGTGATCAACAATCCCACTTAGCTCCTGCGCATGAGTTGATCTCACGCTCCATCTCCGCGGTGGCCCTCCCTGGCTTGTTCCCTCCTTTGGCTGCCACTCCGTGGTTAGTCTCGACTACCGGCCATCATCCCTTCCAGTGGCGTGTCCTGCCCAAGCCCAATTCATTATCTTAACAGTCAAAAGGATGCCTCCAACCTGCATATGATCTCTACACCATGTTCCGTATTCATCTTTCTCCCCCTGTATATAATTACAGGCATGCGACCTCCCCATGGTCTCTTGTGTGCACGTTTAGGCATTGTTTCCATCATCTTTATCAATGACCATGTTTCTGATTCATATTTCCTAGGATGTATGTATGTTGAACTTCTTTAGCACCGTACGTAGCCAGAATGCTAATCGGAAGTGCGGGGAAGGATAACACATTGAACACAAAAAAGCACTTCTAAAGGAATTGGTTTTCAAACTCGATTTAAAAGGGCATAGCTTCAGTGGCTCCGGAATATCGAAAGGATGAGCGTTCTAGACTGCAAGTAATATGCACTGGTACATATTTTTGTGTAAATATGAGGCCCATTGGTATGTTCTTTTTTTATTATTTCTCGAGAAAATGTTTTATATATAACAGCATTTCATTAAACAAATTAAAGTCAGAATGAAAGTGAAAACATGAACGCATTGCTTTTTTTATACACATATCTACAAAACCGTCAACACCTAGCTAATCATTATTAAATACTTACGCGGAAATGTTGTGAGTTTACTGGAAATATGTTAAGCGGAGGACAGTCATCTTCGATGAAAAATGAAGTGTCAAATAACGTCCATATGCATCTTTTTCAGACAAAGTACACAGTATTACATTATGCACCTTATTCCCAAAAATGTGCTGAATTTTGTCGTCATGGGAAGTTGGCACAAACATTTATCGTACTTTCTGCGGGATTGTATAGGCGGCTGTTGTGGAGACCGTAAGTGCATTAGCATCAGAGAAGCGAACTGAGGTGAACAAAAGCACGACCATTTGTCAAGCGTTCAACACCCACCCAGTGATTCATTTGTCACGATCTGAGGTCACAATTCTGATTCTTTTAGTTTGTATTGTTTCTTGGTTTTTTTTTCCACGTCTCTGCGCAGTTTTTCCTACCAGATCCGTCTAAAGGCTAAATAAGCTTGCAAAGGGTGCTTACATTTGTTGTAACACTTCTGAGAATTTGCAACAATACCACGAGAAATGTGCTGCTGCCTCCGTGCTCCGGAGATCACCTGTAGAAGATTCCAGGCCACGTGTTGACAATGACGGCGAACAAGTGGAGACTCTTTGACTGAAGTGTTAACATCTTTTTGAAGCACCCTGTACAGTTATTTGAATACACTCTGCACAAAATCAAGACCATCGAACAGAAAACAAAATTCCACGAGAGATAATTTGTACTAGCAAGTAATTTTTGTTATTTTTAGAGGAAGCTGGAATCTTATTCTACTTCGTTAATATGAAAAGCTGAAATTAGCAACGTTATACGTGTCTGGATACCGAGGTTATTGAGCCGTTGAGTGGCCTCTGTGGAGTCTTGGTGGATGTTTGTGATATAGCCAGCGAATCGGCCGGTTCGGGAAGTGTTGGATCGATGGTCTACCTCTGGTGACCCCAGAATTTACATTGTAGACTGTTCTTTATTTCCCATTAATGACGGCGGTGACAGCATCTGCCATGCCGTTCTGCAGTAAATGTAGGATGACCAAATAATACACTGTGCTATATGCCTAGACAACTAAAACATGCACCTTGCACGTAACTGCATTGCCAACAATTGTGACTCAACATGAATAACTAAAACTCACCAAAATCCCTTGACCCAAAAGTACAAAGGTCGACCTTTCGTCACCTCCAACACCACGGTAGGACTGTGAAGAGCGGCTTAACTCAACTTGATCATTTAACTCTTTTGTAAGCGAATACTTTTTGTTAGTTATGACACAGATGACCCGGGGCAACGGCGAAGTTTGGTCAAACATACCCCCAGCACGCGCAACGGCGTCATTCAGCGGTGATTCGTGTGTGTCCACGTGCCCCTCTTTTCAATTATCACGACCATTGGCATTGTTCATCACATGCGGTTAATCAGAAACACGTCTTACTGCCCGATTACGTAAGGCAACATCATTAGAGGCAAACGTGAAGTTCACGTTTGAGGGCTGGTGCTCTATTTAAACTGCAATGTTTAAAGTCTGAAGGTTGTGGTGACAAGTTTATTTAAGCACGTTCTTTAAAAAAACACACATTTTTTGCATCAAGTACAACATAAAACCCCGCAGCCTCCCTGCAGCGATTAATTCCCGTGTTGAATACCCTCTTAGCGAAGCAGACAATCATCTCACAGCCCAACGGGATGGAGTTGCAGGCTCACTCACAACGCACGCACGTGCCACACCAAAGTGGCTTCCCAACTTTTAAACAATGTTGTTGTTGTTTTGAGACGCTGTATTGGGCACTGCTGCACATACATACACACAAACAAAAAACACCCTCAATACATTCGTCACTCGAACGCTACCGGGAGAGAAGAATAACAGTGGACGGCGACGTTTCGGGTAATGGCCCTTGTTCGTATAACAGTAGCGATGCTCTCTGACGAACGTGTTGAGTGTTCCCGTCTTAAACCCGTGCGCTCTCAGCCATAAGCAGGCGTCTGCACTGTTTTTAAATTCCCTTTACCTACTTGCCTCTTCCTCCCTCCGGCTTGTGAAGAAGACCCGGACTGGAACTAAGGGTTTATTGCTTGCGGGGGAGCAACGCGTGTAATTGCGTTGACGTTAAATGATTCGTGCGCATCATGCGCATACCACTACAACGCGCAGCACGTAGCTACGTTACGCAGAAACCGGCCTTGCTTCATCGGTTGCATTGCCACGAGACGACTCCCACATGCAACACTGCGCGACATTCAACAGCGTAGACGTCGCTGTGCTGCTGCGGGGACTCTGTGTGTGTCTATCTGTGTGTGTCTATCTGTGTATGTCTGTGTGTCTCTGTGTGTGTCTGTGTGTGTCTCTGTGTGTGTCTGTGTCTCTGTGTGTGTGTCTGTGTGTCTCTGTGTGTGTCTGTGTCTCTGTGTGTGTGTCTCTGTGTGTCTCTGTGTGTGTGTCTGTGTCTCTGTGTGTCTATCTGTGTGTGTCTGTGTGTATGTGTCTTTGAGTGTGTGTCTGTGTCTCTGTGTGTGTCTCTGTGTGTGTCTGTGTCTCTGTGTGTGTGGCTGTGTGTGTCTCTGTGTGTCTCTATGTGTGTCTGTGTGTGTCTCTGTGTGTCTGTGTGTCTCTGTGTGTCTGTGTGTGTCTATGTCTGTGTGTGTCTGTGTCTCTGTGTGTGTGGCTGTGTGTGTCTCTGTGTGTGTCTGTGTCTCTGTGTGTGTGGCTGTGTGTGTCTCTGTGTGCGTCTCTATGTGTGTCTCTATGTGTGTGTCTCTGTGTGTGTCTGTGTGTCTGTGTCTCTGTGTGTGTGGCTGTGTCTCTGTGTGTGTCTCTATGTGTGTCTCTATGTGTGTGTCTGTGTGTGTGTCTGTGTGTCTGTCTGTGTGTCTCTGTGTGTGTCTGTGTGTGTGTCTGTGTGTGTCTCTGTGTGTGTGGCTGTGTCTCTCTCTGTGTGTGTATGTATGTGTATCTCTATGTGTGTGTCTGTGTCTCTGTGTGTGTCTGTGTGTCTGTGTCTCTGTGTGTGTCTGTGTGTGTCTATGTGTGTGTCTGTGTCTATCTGTGTGTGTCTGTGTCTCTGTGTGTCTGTGTGTGACTGCACGTGGGGAGTGGTCGCGCTGCGCTATGAACCCGGCGACCCCAGCTCGACTCCCGCTCACGGCCACCACCAGTAACGATTATCTGAACCGGTCCTGGGCCTCCCTTAGGTCGACTCAGCCTCAAATGAGTCCCTGGTGCGGTGTGTCAAATCATCGCCGCTGGGGAGACAAAGGCGGCCGGGCCTGGTGCAGGCCACCCACCCCCTCGTGTGCCGTGCCGGTGGTGGTTTACGTGACCATACTTCACCACACCGGTCCATGCGGGATTTGACACAGAAGCACTTTAAAGCGGGCGGTGAAACACGATAAAAAAATAAGATAACCCACACAGAGCAATAAACATCCGTTCGTCCGACTCACGACTTACCGGAACGTGATGGACACTTGCGCGTTGCGTGTCGCACCTCTGCGGGTACGAAGTTGCGGGGAACTCGCTACGCGTCGAGGCTGCTGTGATGTGTGACTAACCTCGGGGCGAGTTTGTTCGCTGTCTCCCTCCCTCTCTCTCTCTCTTCCCCCCCCCCCGCGCCTGTGTTCGTGTGTGTGTGTACGGACCAGCGTAGAGAGAGAGAGAGGAGAGAGAGACTTTGACTTTTAAACAGAGAGCAGTTTGAGTGAGCGTTGGGAGCGCTCCCCGTGCACGTTGCGTTGAGCTGCAGCTCAGTGACGTCACAGCGGCTCCTCCGTGCCCTCCCTCCCCCCCCCATAGACCGGACACGTGGAGGTGGCTGACAACCCCACAGGTAACAGTCAACTTGCCGGGCCGACGTCGTGACAGAAAAAAACACACGCGCACAGAGATACCACCTACCAACACCCCCTCCCTCCCCCCCCCAACCATATCAATTTATGTGGCCATCCAGCACAGCGAATGGAACTTATGACGACTCAATTACCGATTCACATATACGAAGGAGGCATCGTCACAACATCGCCGTCAACCGATACGGTTTAGCCGTATTCTTGAAGAGGGACATTGAGTTTTCGGGTCCATACGGCGTACAGCCGTTTCAATACGGGGACTTTTTTTCCCTTCTATTTGTGTGTGTTTCTCCCTTGTGATGGGACATTGTAGGATGAACTTTGAGATTTATGAGGGCATGGGGTGACTCATAAGATCTGAATTGGTCTGTAATAAGGTAGGGCACTGAAAAGTATGTCACAGCGATGTACCACTCCACTACTCCTCATGCAATCATCTGGCTCAAGCAGTTCAATGTAAAATGTTATAAGGTCGCACTCGTTGCTTGCCACAGATATGGCCCACAAGAGCTTGCTGATCTCTCCGCAAGGAGCATAAACCACCGTGCGGACTCCGGTCATCCTCGCAGCGGCGGCCTTTGGCGAACCGTCGAACGGAGGCGGTGGTCAGCGCGTCGCGCGCTTTCGGATGCGCTTCTGCGGCCGTCTGGAACGCTCCTCCTTCCGATATCAAGAAGCCACTGGAGCTATGCACTTTTAAAATCTAGATTGCCTACGTGCGGTGCGAACGAAGTTCAACATACGTGCATTGTAATCTGTGATGACAGAAAACATGACTACGATTGAGTTCAGGTCTATAGCCCCGTTATAGCCTATTTTGACTGCTGGGGCAATTGCTGTTGGCAAGCACCTATGAAGACCGACACGGCACACGAGGGGTTGGTGTGGAACAACACCACGCCAGGCCGCCTTTGTCTCACCGGTGCTGATGTATGTACACCCACACACCGCACCAAGTACTGGTGTATAAGGATGAAAGATCGCCGCTCAGATCGCGACCTTTAAGCTGTGTGAGAAGAAACAGAGCGCCTTGACAAAGGAATTAGCATATTTCAATGCTAAATTCTATGCTAATTCCTTTGTCAAGGCGCTCTGTTTCTTCTCACACAGCTTAAAGGTCGCGGTCTGAGCTTGGCTGTGTTCACTCCAACGCTGTCCTCGAGACAGTCTCGTCCCTTCACCTGATGAAGGCCGCTTGTGTTGTGGCCGAAACGTCGTGAGAATTTTATTGTGTTATTTTATTTTATCAATTTATTATTTTATTCTCATTCTACGTGACTTTAGCGAAAGAACCAAAGAAGGCAAACATTAATCTTTGTTTTTTTTCGGTAAAGTTACGTAGAAATAAGAAAAATAAAAATAAAATTACGTAATATACACCGTTTCGATTGCAACACAAGCAGTCATCATCAGGTAGAGGAAACACATAACCGCAGATATATATACAGACCTTAAGTAGAGGGAATTAACACAGATATACCAGGGGATACAGAGAGACGGAACATCACACTAAATCAAACAGGGTTTAGCAAAATTTGGAAACTGTATAAAGCAACACAGACGGTCGGTTAAAACACAATTAACGCATGGTTTGGTTGAATACGCTGTAATTTTATTTTTATTTTTCTTATTTCTACGTAACTTTACCGAAAAAACCAAAGATGAATTCCTGCAGTCACGAAAGCATAACATCTTTTATGGCAAACATGTTCAGGAGCTGAATGTCACTGCGAGGTCTGCTTTCGTCATGATGAGAGGGCTTCCGCGGTTGATAGAGTTGTGTTATTCCTCCTGCTCCGTTGAAGGAGCACAGACTGCAGCGGTGTATAGTCCATAACTTGGATTGCGCGGCCACAATATATGTACTGTGCGTTGAACTTCTTTCGCACCGTACGTAGCCAACCGTGCTAACCGGAGGTGCGGGGGAAGGACAACGAAGTAAACACGGAAAACAGTTGTGATGAAATTAGTTTTCAAACTAGATTTAATAGTGCATAGCTCCAGTGGCTTTATAATCTCGGAAGGAAGAGCATTCCAGACGGCCGCAGAATCGCATCTGGAAAGCGCGCGATGCAGTGACCGTCGCTGCGAGGATGATCTGAGCTCGCGCGTTCGTTTCTGCTCCTTGACGAGATCAGCGAGGTATTGTGGCTCATTTGTGGCAAGCACTTTTTTGCGTGTAATGTGTGCGACAAATCGCATTACTGCGTCGCTTGCCTTTAATATCCCATTCACGGAGGAGATGTGTATTGTATTCAACGTGTTTAAAGTTCCATGCGTTATATGATTGCGGTTGCTCTTGGATACGCAAGTGATTGAGTGATTATGAATTCATTTAAAATGGCATCGAGTGGCGAGTGATTCGATGCCCTCTACTGGAGGCTCCATCCGCCAGCAAAGAAATTTCAGGGCTGCACCATCATCCTTTACGTTGCATGTGAACGCACCGCCCTGGCACACAGCCGCATGCGTGCGGGCAATTTCAAGAGAGAATCTCAAACTTAAACGCCACAAACCTCGTTTCTGCGCACGATTTGTATTATGCATGGCGCTTTTGTGAATCCATTGCCGAATGAAAGCGTTCCCACGCCTTTCAGTAACGCAGGATTTGTTCGACCATACATCAGCCTTGCTGGTGAGTGTGGGTGAAGGGGGTTGGTTCCCAGGGCTGGTTAATTTCTCATAATCCCTTGGTGTTGTTTTAGCCGCGGCTGCCCGGAAATTGAACTAAGGTAAAGGAGTTCAAAGGGAAATATGCTAACCACTGTGCAGCCACGAAACCCCACACGCACATTGTATTTCCCCGTTTGTACACCGAATATGTTTCTATTGATTCATGTAACGGTAATGCACTTTGTCTAGCTTTATAACCCTCCATGAGAACTGTTTTTTTACATTAGGTCCATCAAATTTTAGTTGGGGTTTATTTTAACTCACGAGGTTTAATTAGCGAATATGCACAATTGAAATACGGAGTAATCCTAAATTAAGTGGGCTCGCACAGGGATGATGGCCTTTGGTCACGAATCGTTGCAGAGTGGCACCCAAGGGAAGTGAGTGCGTCGGAGAGATGTCGTCGACCGCGAAGATGAAGCGATGAAATCAGCTCGTGTGTCGCACTGGGTAGATCGTTGGGGGTATCGGCAGCTTGGGGAGGAGGCCTTCAACAGGAGTCGATTGTTCGTGGCTGATGGATATTTAAAAACTTTCTCGCCGACTGTGAGCAACACCTTTGGACGTAAGGAGCAACCTCTTAAAGGTTATATGGAGGATATTTGTTTTCTACTGTAACTTAGCAGCCCAAACATCATTTGGACGTGACCGTCTGCACGTTCCTCGAGACAGTCAGCCAGCAAAACGTTTCATATTACTGTACAGCGGTCTTCACGTCCATTGGACATGACAGCTCGTCAAAACTTGTTTTCCAATACCTACAATATGAAAGCACAAACAAGCGTGTGGCTCGTACAGGTTGTAGAGTGAGGAGTTAGCGGAGGTGTGAGCGGTGCACGTGATGCCCACATATCCAGGTTTAACACACCCACCCATAAATCCATACACACGTACATAGAATCACGGGTTCGTTCAACGAAAAGGACAAATTTATTAAATTGTTTTAAACTATCACTGAGGGAAAGGAGCATCTCTATGTTTTGTCCGACTGACATTCTGGAAAGATTAAAGTTCATAGAGAATGCGAAATAGTCTTGGTAGGTGAGGTTTGGTGATCTCATGATGTCCATTGAGCCATTGGCTGGACATCTCTATAAAGGATCTTTATAGCTCATCGGATTTCTCCAGAATATATATACATAATCTGATTCTGACTTTTGAACACTTTAAAATGCAGTCCAGGCGTTAATATGCAGATTATCTGACCGAAGTGCATTGAGTGTTCTAATTCTATGAAAATACACCTTGGGGTTTAACAGTTTACCGAATGTGACATTAATTACGTGGATTGTGAAAAATAATATAGGCATTTTTTTAACAGCCTGGACATTCCTGCATGGGTGAATGTATTCTGCATTCCTGCATGGGTGAATGGGGCTATGTGGAATACTAACTGCTATTTTTAAAAATAGCTTTGCCACACATCTGGGAATCGGCTACACATCTCAGTTGTTTCTTGAATGTGTTTGTCAGCCTTCTCTGAGTTTTACCAATGTACACGCAAAGACAATTGTCTGCATGAGACGTAGTGCTGCTGTACACCATATTAATCCTGGTACACATGGCCTCATATTTCATGTGAAAGTATAAACCTATTACTGCTCTTTCTGTTTCAGTGTAATTACATCCCTCAAGTAAAAACAATAGATTATTTTTTACGTGACTTTACCGAGAGAACCAAAGAGTCATTCCTGCAGTTCCGAAAGCTCCCAATCAAGTTAAAATATATATATTTAAGGTTTGATCCATTTGCTTCGGTAGTGTCCGTGTTTCTAATACATGTCACAGTGAGTAACATCAATATGTAGAAAATGTCAATCATGTAGACGGATATGTTTTCCCTTCATTGTAATTTTCAGTGCTGCATACTTCCAGTGATGCCATGGCTCTCTGCTGGGCTTTGTCCTAATCCCTCCACCTAATCCCACTTGTCTGTTTCCTCCTCACACCTCCGAGTCATTCTCTATCTCTTCGAGAGTGGACAAATACCGTGTGGAGCGTTACAAGTTGAAATAAGTATGATCATTCCCACCCCGCACCGTCGATTAGCACGGTTGGTTACGTACGGTGCAAACGAAGTTCAACATGTACATACGGATATTGAACTTCTTTCACACCCACACCTCCGATGAGCAGGGTTGGCTACGCACGGTGCGAAAGAAGTTCAATAAATTAATTCATATGTAGCCGACCGTGCTAATCGGAGGTGCATACATACATACCAATCC